GTACTTTCAAGTATCGTTCGAAAGCCTTTATCCGTTCTCACATTGAGGAATCCACTGTAAGTGCAGCAAGATTATCTTCAAGGTCACTGCCAGTGACCTTGCAGACGACTGCAAAAAAATATTATTTGGGTCGCTCAAACATGACACGATTGCAGCTCTGTTCTTTTCATGCATCCGTTATGAAGCGAATGAGGTAAGTGATGCAGAAACCTGATACGGAGCTCCTGGTGCTTGCCCGCTCGTTGCAAGTGAATTTTTTGCTCTGCATTATATCGACCAGTTCATTCGTGAAAGCAGGTATTTACTCATAGAGACAGGTGAAAGATTAAGGTTTTCATTGGATGGGACCGATGCCTCCAATATTGTCTTTTCGTGAGGAAAATCGTGGACGTTTTATTTTTATACTGGATGCCGACCCCAAGGTCACAAAGGAACCGAGATACGACGAATGGCATGACGTAAATTTTCAACATTCGTCAGTTAAAAGACGCCCTATCTCAGCGCAGAGCTTTAATCCTTGGATACACCATGCCGGTGCGTTTTGATTGCGGCTGGCTGGAATCACGTCCCGGCCGCATCGGGTACATCTAGAGCATTGGAAGGTTCGCATTCTGCTTTTCACACTTGGCGCAGGTAAATCCTTGATCACCTCTCAGGGTATCTACCTAGGGGAGAGGGGGAGGGTTTATCGCGATCTTGTTTCGTCTGAGTTTCGCATGACAGTTTCACTTACCGTCTCGATTTAAGAGCCATGAGGGTGATATTTCCGCAAGTTAGTTAACATCCTGGAATTTTCCCCTTTTTTTTCCTTTGTTATATCTAAGGTTTTTTTTGGCGTTTTCGGATGGTTTTTGTCAGTAATAGAACTGAAATTTGATGAAGCACCTGATCGCAACTTCACTTCTGAAACTCCTCCATCGGCCATTTTCAATGTCGCATCGTGCCTCCTCTGACAGCCACCAAGGTATCTTGACATGATCTTCTTCTTTCGTATGGGTATAGCGACTATTATAAATTGATGTCAATCTTTGAAATCCAGTCAATAGTTCTTAGTGATGCTGCGTGTATATCTTTGGTGCTGCCGGGAAATGAGTACAATGGGCACTCGTTGATGATGTGCTCCATAGTTTGGATTGGAATGCCGCATTCGCACGTTGGCGATTGTTTAATACGCCACTTGTGCATCATGTCTCCGGAACGACCATGAAGAGTCCGGATGCGATTTAAGGTCACCCATTCGCGGCGTGGGAGTGTGGCACCTGGTACCTCAGCCGATGGATCGTCGATGAGGTTCTTATTTTTCACGTCCACGCGAGACCAGGCTTCTCGCCAGCGTGCTTCCGTGCACGACCCCAGGTCGTGCAGGATTCTCGCGGCAGTCCAGAAAGGACGTCTTGATTTTAGGCGGGACGGGATGGTCTCATCGATGTCGCGATGAATCGGGATGGAACTGGTTGGCAATAATCTTCTTGTCACGTCTCGCCGGATTTCGGCAAGGGGGATGTGCGCGAGCACTGGGAGCCATGGGAGCGGAGTCGACTTGAGGCATCCGGTTACCACTCGAAGAGCGGCGTTCAGCTGGGGGTCGATTGCGTCTGTGTGAGCGCTGCGGGCCCACACAGGAGTGCAATACTCCGCGGTCGAGTAGACCAAAGCGAGTGTTGCGGTTCGGAGGGTACGTGCGTCGGATCCCCATGTAGTGCTAGCGAGGTGCTGGATTAGGTTGACTCTCGAGGCTAGCTTATTTCTGAGTTTCTTCAGGTGTTGCCGAAACGTCAGGCTCCTATCCAGTGTTAGTCCCATATAGCGGGGGTTTGGATCGTGCTGGACGCTTTGACCGCAGAACTGTGTCTTCAGCGTTCTGTTGGCGGCGGAGTTTTGGAGGTGGAATGCTGTAACTGCGGTCTTATGCGGGTTGAGACAGAGACGCCATTGACGGAAGTAATTCTCCATCTTCTTTAGGTCGTTATTTAGAGTGGCTTCCGTTTCCGTGGAACCTGCGACGGGCAGATTGGCCGGGGTTCGGAGAAGCAGTCGAAAAAACAGTGGGCCGCATCCCACCAACTCCTGAAAATTTCGACAGTTTCACAAAACTCCTCAAAACGGCTGCGAAGAAGAACATCCCCCGCGGCCATAGGAGCACGTATACACCGGGCTGGAGCACAGAAAGCGAAGTACTCCTCAGGGAGTACGAAGAGTCGGGAGACCCGGAGGTAGCTGGGAACCTCCTCAGGTCGCTGGACACGGCAAGGCGACAGAGATGGATAGAGGCCACAGAGGGCCTAGACTTCCCTCACTCCAGCCGCCGACCTTTGAATGTGCTGCGACGCCTTGGTGGTGCAGCTCCCACAACAACAAACCTGAAGGTTAGTGCGGACAACATCGCTACCCAACGATCATCCAACTCAAAAACAACCGCGAGCCGGGCTACCAAAAGGGAGGTGAAGACTGCCCTGAAGGCATCCCTTGCTGCTTGCGTCTCGACGTCAACACTCTCAGAGCCTTTCAAGAAGGCCGAAATTGACGCCGCTCCGTCCGCCACCAAAACCCATAAGGCGGCAGGTCAAGACGGAATTCTTCCAGAATTTTTGAAAAATCTCGAGGAAAGAGCACGCACCTGGCTCGCGAAACTATTCAGCAACATCCTTAACTCAGGAAAACTACCGAAAACATGGCGAAGGGCAAAGGTCATCGCCCTCCTTAAACCAGGCAAACCAGCAGACGACCCAAAGAGCTATCGACATGTTTCGGATGACATCGGCTGGAAACAAGGTCGAGTCCAGGAATCTGGAGCCGCTGCGCGTGTTCTTGTGCCACGTGCGTTTCTTGCAGGAGTAGGGCATCGATGTTGTTTTCCTGCATGAGTCTCGCAATGACTTCTCCTTTGGATCGGGATAGGCCCTCCACATTTAGTTGGCATAGCCGAATTGCTGGGCCCACTTGGCGATTCAGCTGGCCCTGATGAGGACCTTTTGGCCAACGTTTTGCGCGGTCGCTATTGTGACTGAGAGGCCGGGAAACGGCGTTCAGTCTCCGATGTAGGGGCATTAGTTCGCGTTTTTAGCGATTACCAGGTAATCGTCAGGTTCGCTTAACGGGGAGGGCCACGAGAAGGCTGCCACTATCCTCCCCATGACATGATTATAATGGGCTTATTGGAGTTAATCTGAGGTGGGCTTGTCTGCGTATGACCAAACGAGGGATATGAACCATAAGATGGTTCATATCCCTCGTTTTCATGTGAAATGTTTGTAACTGATGCAATGAAGGGAATAGCGTTTGAAACGGATTATGAGCACTTGAAAGAAATTGAAGCGGCTTCATAAATACTTGTGTTTGAGCGGTTCCTTACATTAAATTGCCATCTCTCAAATATTGATCATATCGTTTTCTTTTTAATTAATGTTTCCTATTTCGCTTCCAAGGAGTTCTGGAATCATCTGATTGAGAAATCTTTTCGATTTCGTTTCTGTCCTCAGTTGAACATCACTTTATCAAGTTCCATATCTCCATACACCGGATAGTCTGGATTTTGACAAATAATGGCCGCACATGACAAAGGCGTGAAGCGAAAGAGAAAACAGATTTTTCATCGACCTAGAATCTTCTCCCACGAAGAATTGCAATCTCTTGGAATTCACGAGGGGGAAAAAAAAACTATCGTGTTACGGCAGCGAAGAAGAAAGAAGAGACATGGATGAATCACACTTTGACATGCTGGCGATCTTCTGCATCCTTTTATTGATGCCGAGTCTCTATCTCCTGTTAAGATTCCTGCGAAGGCGCCATCCCGGGAGGGCCAACGATTACGACGAGATGGATACTTATTGCCCTGGATTCGGATGCGGTGGTTTCTTTTAATCAAGTCTGACTGGGTTCATTTTCGTCGTGTTTTACCGAGTTAGCAAGCTGATTGACAAGTTTATGAGTCTGCCATTGTCTTCGTCTATTTCCCTCCATTTCTCCATCTTTGTTCTTAATGTGAATAGAAGTGCTTTGAAACCAAGAATCAATACAAGTACCGAAATGAACTTCATAAGTCCTACAGCTTTCATTGTCGGTTTCCTTGTTACCTGGAAAAGTACGATGGAGCAACGGGCGAGAAACACATCGCTTATTAATGGAAACTAATGGCCGGAATCTTCAATAGATGATGATCATATATACCCCTAATAGAATATCCGTGCTTCAAAGTTTAAAAGTCCGACGAAAGGATTTTTGGGCGGATTTCTGAGCTATCTCCTGTCAAAACGTGCAACAAGACTGTCTCCAAAAATGCAAAATTTCAGTCTGTACATATATTCATCATTCATAAGAGTACAATGATGAGTTTGATCACGATAAGGTTTCTGACGTTGCACAGTCCCGTGACACTTGCCTTGTGTCGTTCAAACGCGTCACCAGGAGCAAAATGCAGGGCCCTCAAATTAAAAGAAAATGAACTGCTGCGGGTTTCTTGTTCATCGAGAGCGATCCATCAACGGCAGGGACGTGACAAGCGTTATTTTCTCGTGTAATTTCAGAAAAGTCAAAGGGATTCCCTCTCAGAAGACATTGAAGGTTAGTCGACCCAACCCTAAGAGGGTTGACGCAAAATGTTGCCCTGGGATGTTGCTCTTGAAATTCACATGACTTCCTTTCTGACTTGAGATGACTTGAAATTTCGACATTTCTACATTCGGCGTGTCATTCGATCTTCCGTACCTTCGAGATTGAATTTGACATTCGAAGTAAATGTTCCCCATTCGGTATTCCGTGCCTTTCGATAATAAAAAATTCTGGTTTCGGTCCTTGCACTTTAGGATGCATTCTGCATTCATTTCCTTCTGTCCTCCAACCTTTCGACCATTAGATGCGGACCGAAAAAAAGTTTTCCTTTGGAACGTGAACGGGTGATTGGCAGCGAGATTGACAGCCCCACTAACCGATGGGATAAAACGAGACACTGAATGTTGTTTTGCCACGTTCACCGATGCCTCATGAAAATACAGCCCTGAAACATGGAGAACGTCGCAATCTGATTAGAGAGGCTGCTGCTAATGCCTTATCTAACTACAGAGACAGATAAAGCATGGGAAACATCTCGACTTGAAACACCCAACAGCATGACACGATAGAAATGCCCCGGCATCCTTGATTTGGAAATGATTTGATTTTTACAGGCTCTGACGATTCAGAAGGCGCTGAGCAAGAAGGAAAAACCAGTGAAGGAAAAACATGCACGGTGTATCCTTTGCTTATTTTAAGCATGTGCCTGAGTTAAAAATTATAGTCGAAAGCATGATTGCCAGAAATGCAGTCTTTTTTTACCTCGCGCGTTAGACTAAGGTAGCCAAGGTCTAGGTCAGAGCGGTCCGGATGCGGAATCCTATATCTTCAGTTTTGGAATTCCTTGTGTGTGAAAAGCAGGCGAGGCTGCTTCCTTCGTTTCGGAAACAGTGATGGTTTTATGGCATTGCCTCTTCTTGCCTTTCTATATGTACGGTTAATCGAGTTCATTTGAAGTTGAATGCATGAAGGCAAGGGGGGGAAATGTGAAGTTGGACTCAGCATGTGTTTACTCTGTCGTCTTTTTCACAGCCTGCAAGGCCAGTTTTTTTAAATAGATTATATATATCTGCTTCATACTTCGTCTGGATCCCGAATCTGTATGTTCTACTTTTACGTGTGTGGAAGAAATCGAATCCTATTGTTACAAGGTATGAAGGTGACGTTTTCGTTATTGAACACAAATGTAGAAGCTAGGAGCAAGTGAGTAATGATTGTATCTGAACCAAGTCAGATTGAGGAGAACTTAGCCAGTTAAAAAGGATCTCCTTATTAGCCCTATTTTTATGGCACTTGACACGGCAAGAGGATGACTATTAAATCCAGATAGGCTGTAGTTGATACACTTAGGCCCGGGTCGACATCTCTAATGCTTCCAGGAGGCGCTGAGTTTGCTTCATCAAATAAAATGGTATGAATTATCCTTGATGGCTCGCCATCCCTCAGACCTGATCATAGGCACCCACGAAGAAAAGGGAGCATCGCGCTTCTGGCAGCTGGCCCCAAAGCAGCCGATCCACGAGAACCAGGTCGTGGCGTGGAAGTTCTGCCACGTCCTCCACAAGCTGCTCCGAGACGGCCACCCCAACGTCATCCCCCAGTCGATCCGGCATCGCGCCGCGCTGGTGGAGCTGGGTCGGACGTGGGGGGAGGCGCAGTCGTGGCGTGGAAGTTCTGCCACGTCCTCCACAAGCTGCTCCGAGACGGCCACCCCAACGTCATCCCCCAGTCGATCCGGCATCGCGCCGCGCTGGTGGAGCTGGGTCGGACGTGGGGGGAGGCGCGGGAGGCGCACGGGAATCTCGTCAAGTGTTACGTGGATTTCCTTCTCACGAAGTTGAAGTTTCACGAGAATTACCCGGGTTTCCCCGGGAACGTCCAGGTCAGCGAAGACCGGCTCCAACTACTCGGAGGTAACGACATCAACTATTATTTTCAGCTGGGTGCTGCTATTTTTGACTACCTAGAAGACATTCTGGCCCTCCAATCGGCAGATTGGTCTCGCCTCAGTAAATCCAGATTCACCGAAAAGCACCTGGTTCGGTCCACGAATGAATTCTCTTCCAGTTTTTGGGTCGACGGGAGCGAGTCAGAGCAACTCGTCGACCAGAGCAGGATCACTGTCGTGTAGCAGCTCTCATACCCTGCATCTTGGAATCTTATTTACTCTTTGACTATACGGTCAAAATCATGTTCAAGCTCCATGCTGGTGAGTCTGCATCCAAGCAATCGAGAGATTTACATTCAGATGCACTGCACGCACCGCCATCATTCCCAGATCTGAGCCGCGACGTCCTTGTCGGCCACCGACGGCGATTCCACAAAACGCTTCCCCAGCTCCGAAAGTTATACAAGGATGCAGGCGCCATCCAGCATCTGAAGAACCTGATCAACATCCCCCTTCTGCCTCAGGATTCCACCGAGAGCTTTTCCTTCATGAACCACTTTCCTTCCAGCCGAACGGATTTGACCGGTTCAGCTTGAATTCTCTTCTTCAGCGGTCCTGATTGTTTCCGTAATGGGGACCTAATCATCTGAAAAGCTTTTCTGCTATTTCGAATATTCAAGTAATGGAATGTGATGGATTTGTATTTAACAGAGAATATCCATGCGCAGAAATTGTTTTTGCATGGAATTGAGGATCTTGTCGATATTTATTTTGTGCAGGAGATCTTGGTGGTCAGTCTTTTTTGCGCTGTTTCACTTAACATGATACGGTATTAAATTTTTTTTTCCCGACCTGGTCAGCATTTTCTTCTCTAGCGAGCGTGGGGAGCTTTTAAGTCTCGATTTCTTTTTTGGGACTGCCTTTTTGCGTACTTATAATCGTGTTATGATAGCATCTGGGTTACTGCTTAATTATGTCGAGGCTGAGGGTGGTGATGATTGGGGTCGTCACTGTTTATGTCTTACTCCGCTTCAAAGTCTATGAATCTCGTCGACAGGTTGGGTGTGATAATGAGGTCTAGCACGTTTTCGGAGTAGTGATTTTGGGTGGTGGTCGAGTATGTCGGTTGATTATTGTTTAATATGAGATTTCGCTCTCACGAGATCTGCTACTGTTTCACACGAACTATTAGCTTGGTGCGAAAATAATTGCTGTTTTTGTTATTTTAAACTTTGATGCTTATTTTGGAATAAACTTATTTAACTATGTTCATGTAATATACCATTTTAAAGCGTGAAATTAGCTCTACTGATTTATGCTAATGGTTTGTTTTCACTGTTTATTCTTGTTTATTTTAGGCTGTCAAATTAAAGATGGAAAAACAGCAAATTCGAGCGATTTTATTGTATGAGTTCAAAATGGGACGTAAAACAGCGGAAACTGCTCGCAATATCAACCAAGCATTTGGCCAGGGGACCGTCAAAGAACGTACAGCTCAACATTGGTTCGGTGGATCGATCGGTAATCGTGGAGATGAAAAGGATTGAACAAAGGTGAGGTCGTTCGGTGAGCCTAACCCGTGAGCTTATTCCATGACGTAGTGGATGTTTGACAGCATGGGATAAAAAAGAGAGGAGATCATTGGTCGGACAGATTAGCTATAGAGTCCGTTTTTTTTCCGCGGGGACAATTGGGTTTGGGTGAACTGTTGTTGACATCCCCTACCGGCAACGCGAACGCAGGCTCAGTGTCCTCACGAAAGAAAGGCATGGTTTTACTGAGGGGCGGGAGGTGCATAGCACCACAGTGCAGATGCGTCGCCAGAATGCGAGGGTCATTTGGGGGGTGGGGTGCACAGCATCCACCAAGTATCCATCATGCTCTTTGTAAGCTGGCAGAGGGTGACTCTGTATGCGGAGATCGCCTGGCGTCCTACGAGGACTATTAAGAAGGCCATAATAATACGCCAGGCGACCTCTAGGCTCTGAAAGGGTGAAGGGAAGGCTGTTATCAGTGAAGAGGAGGGTGTGGAGAAAGAGAAGGAAGAGCGAAAGCATTTAAAGGTAAGTAATAGCCTGAAGCTCGTTACCTACAAGGCTAAGGTAACTGACGCTTAGGTCAAAGCGGCGGATCGAAGAGGTAACACGTCCAGTCCGTCGCTTTACAAAGGAACTAGCGGCCTGCGGCCGCTACGCTGGCCGTCTATTGTGAGCATAACGTCTTCTTGACAATCCTCTGTTCATTGCATTCATTACATTTCCCCTTCATTACATTTATACACATATAGTTTACAGTACACAGGGAGATTCTGCTCTTGCAACACTCTTGCATCACCGATTAGCTAATCGGCTATTAGCGTTAGTATATGGTACAGACACCAATGATTCTGAAACAGGACGGACCGTTTCGAGGAACTTGTTCGTCGGCACAGAGGGAAGTTATTGCATGTGCGGCACAATGCTAAAGACTAATTCCTGAAAATGCCAACCTTGCATCAAGTTGCTCAGCATTCGCTGCCTCTTGCTGTTCAGCGGTCTGGGCGGCCCTAAGCTCCCTACATACATGTGCTTGCTGTTTATCACCGATTCTAGCCATTACGGCTAGCACCGATTTAGGCACTTCGTACTGCAACTGCAGTGGCAAACGTTTTTTCAGCGCCAGCAACAACTGCCTCATCGCCGTCTTGTGGGACCTCCTTCAACATTTCTTCTTCGCGTTCAACCTCACCTGGCAAAAATGGCCACCATTTTGATGGGAGGGGCACCTCGTTTGCGCGACATACGAAGAGAAACTTTTTATAGACTATTATTTTGACTTCATGAGAACTCAAATAAATCGACCATGACATGAAACGCAAATAGAAAACTATTGCATGGAAGTGATGGCGAGAACCGCCACTTACCTAACGGAAAAAAAATAAATACAGAAAAGATACTTCAGCAAAGAATGTATTCAAATTAAGAACTTGCAGTCGATTAGTGAAAACGTGACAGGCATTCAGTTCGTAGCACCCTTTGCTTGATACAGATAAGTATGAAGCCTATGGAAATAATAGGATGAGCCAAAGCCAATGGCTTAGAAATATACAGCCCCATGGACCTGGCGCTTTGAGAGGTGGACGGCCATCATTTTAATGATCTAGTCTCGTGCGTTGCGGTGACAAGACACCAACACAACTTCTTCCCAGCACATTCAATGCTCTTGCATCACCGATTAGTTCATGGGTTATTAGCATTAGCTTATGGTACAGTTTCCACTGATTCTGAAACAGTACGAGCCATTTCCAAGAATTTGTTCGACTTCAGCACAGAGGGAATTTAGCGCATGTGCAGCAGAATACAAACGAATAATTCCTGAAAATGCCTCGCCTCCACATTAGCACCAATGAACAACAGTGTGAGTTGCAGCAGAAGCACTTTTCCGTTGTGGCAGCAATGTGAAATAAATGTCCCCTCCCTACAGCAAAATGTACAGACTGACAGTGCTCGCTGCGCAAACGACTGTATCGATTTGAGATGAAATGGAGAGGCCTGACAAAATGTTCCGAGTTCCGTGGTTCAATGGTAGCACACCTGACCGGCAAGCAAGAGGTCCGGGTTCAATTCCTGGCTGCCCACCTGATTGCTGCGTTCCTTGTATCAAGTTGCCCAGCAGGCTGCATGGCTCGCCTATTCCTGAGCTCAGCATTCGCTGCCTCTTTTGCTGTTCAGCCTAACGCTCCCAACGTGCAACAGGGTACTGTTCATCAGTCATTCTAGCCATTATGGCTAGCACCTCCTTAAGCACCGATTTAGGCACTTCGCACCGCCACTGCAGTGGCAAACGTTGTTTCCGCGCCAGCACCAATCGTTTATTATCTGCAAGGACTGCCTCATCGCCGTCCTGTATCGTCTTTCAACGTTTTTTTGTCACGTTCACCCTCACCTCGCAAATATCGCCACCGTTTTGATGGGAGGAGCAGTCCGTTTGCTCGACGTATGAAACAAAGAAATTACGTTATTATTTTGATTTCATCAATCGTGAGAACTCAAATCGGCCATGGCATGAAACGCAAACAAAGCTATTGCATGGAAGCGATGTCCCGAATCGCCACGCCTGACCTAACGGAAAAAAAATAAATACAGAAAACACGCTTGAGCAAAGAATGTATCCAAATGGAGAACTTGCAGTCGATCATTGAAAACGTGACATGCATTCAGTTATTACCACCCTTTGATTGACACAGCTAAGTGTGAAGCCTATGGCTCAGACTGATACAGCTCGATGGACCTGGCGCTAAAAGCGTTGGGTGGCCTAGCCTTTGGCCTGAAATGATACAGTCTTGTAGGCCTCGCGTGTAGGTGACAACCACCATCTCTACTACAACCATCGGCCTCTTCAAGTTAAAGTATAAGAAGACTAGCGGCCTGCGGCCGCTACGCTGGCCGTCCAACGGAGGAAAATTTAAACATGCTTACAAAGATATGAAGCAGTTCGGTTCATGCCAAACATTTTCAAGTAAGCTTGAGTAGTTCAAGTGTTGCCGCCCAAGTAATTTTTTATTATTTGTGAGGTGATGTCACGATGGTAAATCACGAATGAATGACTTTTCCATTCATGATTCATCCTATGTAAAATTCGAAAAGTGACAAATGAGAAAAATGGTTCATTTTGGAAATCATGAGAAAAAATCTGAAATATTTGCGAGATTAGTCGAAGAAATTACGGCAAACATAAATTTGAAAATTGAAATCAATGACACCAATTTGATAGCAGAACTGGTTTATGAAGAAAATTGGAAGTTGAAATCTACAACACTTCCTTGTACACGCCATTATCGGTCGAGCCTTGCCTAAAAATCCAAGTGGTCGATGGGCAAAGACAATCGGAAGACCGGACTCGAGAGCACGCAACATATAGCTGTCCGTGTGAGAAAACGGGCTCCGGCAGCAAGAGACCAGCCTTGTCAAACGTTTGTCCCTGAGCTTTGTTGATGGTCATACCGTAAGCAAACGAATCGGGAATTGCCTGCGGCACATGTTGAAGGGAATATTTGGATCGGTCGCTGTGTTGAGTGACACTCGTGGCAGTAAATGCAAGTTTCCACTCCGCGCACCAGTTATGATCTCGACTTTGATGACGTTATCTTTCATATCTCGAACAATCAACCAAGATTCCGAAGAAGCATGACAATGGCACCGACTTTAAGATAGAGATCATGAGGCGGTAAACCATTTGGGTTCAATGAATTGAGGAACTCAACG